CTATATAGGGCCCTAGGGGCTCTAGTACCCTATATAGTAGGTACCTGGGCGGTTAGGGTATAGATTGGTTGAGGGTATGACCATCGAGAACAGGACCTGCTTCAGTGGCGTTCCGCGTGTGAGCAGGGCGCACATTTTCATGACACTGCAGCCCCGCGCCTTTGGTCGTGCATGACTGTTCCTAGGCTCCAAACGACGCAAGCCACGAGCAATGAGCGACAACTCTCAGTCTCTCAACATTGCATGTATCCTTGCAGATTCAAGCGGCAACGGAGCCTGATGCTTATGAGCCCGGGTTCTAGCACGGGAGCTTGACCAAGGAGACCCGGGAACAAAAACACAACATAAATATCTGTGCCTCAACGAGCATGCATCTGGAGCACTCCACTGTACAGCATGTCATTATCCTACGGCTCCGAGTGAGTCTTCGTCGAGGAGTGGGCGTAATTGCAGCTTAAGCGCCAATATCGATGGAGCGCGCCTGGCCGAGAAGAAACCAGACTAAGCATAAACCAAGGTTTGAATAGCCTCTATACCAATGCAAGATATGCGGATGCCTTCTAACTATTTGCATAGACTCGCATTGCGATGACTGACACAATGGTACTCATAATCACCAACAGTTCTTTCTCAACTTCAAGCTATCAGCCACCAGCCTGTAGTGCACGGTAGCTACGCCGGTAGTTTTGTGAGTGGTGCTGTCATGACACTTCAGCCGGCATTTCCCAGCTGCAGGTCCTTGATCTTGTCGCTGAGGGTTTGCATGGGCCCACACACAGAGAACTACTTGACGACATGTCGTGTGCATTGAGGATTTAGGGTTGCTGTTGCAGAGCTCATCACGGCTGTGGAGCTGCAGGGACGAACCTCTACACAACACACACGCAAACAAGCATGCCCATGTCCCACATAGCTCAGTGCAACTCACCATGATGCTACTCCAGCGAATCTAGTAAGGCCCAACAAGCCTTACCCTTCTGAAAAAAAACGACTACTTACACGTGTATCGTCGTATCCCTCCCTAAAACCTAAACTCCCTAAACCCTGATTACACACGTACCCTTTCCCACCAGACTGCGGGAAGGACGTGGTTTGCCCGGCCTGGCCGCGCAGACGTAGGCATCCACGGAAGAACCTAGGACCAGCAGTCGCAACACAAGATGACAGTTTAATTAGGGGTTTAAGGGTTTAGGTTACCCCTTTTCTGCAACGCAAGATGACAGTTCATTTAGGGGTTTAGGGGTTTAGGTTACCCCTTTTCGTGCATTTTCCCAAAGCCACTGTCTGAAAGTATTGTGTTGCTTGGCAAGAGCACGTTGACGAAAGCCTAAACCTGCTGGTCTGCGGCAGGCGAGCCAGAGCTCAAGAAGATCACACAAGAACGGGCCTCAGGCTGCTCAGCCACCTAAGATCCCAAATCCCATAATGGTTGGGTTGCCTTGAGAAGCTGCATGGGATCAGACGTGGCGAAGGACTGAGACCGGTGGAGATCTCAAGTATTTCATGCACCATGGAGACAATTCTACTCCTGCGAACTTCATCGTCTTCACCATACATCCAGCGATTTCGACCTCGAGCTGAAGGTCGTAGCTAGATCAAGTAATCCCCTATGATATACGATAGGCCTTTTTATCGTATCTGCTGCTTGTGATGGCGAACATGACGAAGCCTGTGCTTGTCGCTGTTCCTACCAAGACAAGCATGTAACACATTGGGATTTGCATGCATAGCGTCGTGAGTCTGAGAGTATTGTGTATATGGGTTATGCCACCAGTGCTAGTGATGATGATGGTCTTCGAGTTCCGAACGACTATGGTAGCTAAAGTGCATTGGCAGTGCTGATGGTAGAAGGATCTGCTATGGCGCTGGTGATGACAATGCAAGGAGGATAGTGCTGACATTTATGAAGAAGAAGAACAACATGCGAGGTCGTGGCGTTGCTACTGAATCGCAGCTGGATTCTGTGGATGCTAACAAAACCATTTGCTGGCAAGCTGCTCTTCCAATTCTACTGCCCCGCCTGGCATTGAGCTACTCTGGGACTGCCCGAGGTGGCTGAATGCAGCCGTGCTGGCCGGTTTCAATACACTTAGAAAAGCCTTTCGATACCTTCTGTTGACAGACCGCCTTTTCTCACATGCTTGGACTGCTGTGATTGATGGCAGGACGTGTAGTGGGGACCGATATGCCCCAATTTGGCACCGAACCGTCTGCCACGGCTGGTATCTCAGGCTGTGTCTCTGTCGCAGAAATGACAGGTGCCTGCCTCCATCCAGATCCAGCAGCTTAAAGAACCTGGGCTTGGAAGCAACCCATGGAGAACAAAAAGTAGAAGCTGTGATTTCAGAATGGTTCCTGTAAGGAACAGCCCCCAAACAAAAAGCAAGAACGTACGGTGCTCCAAAACCCAGGAACGACCAGGCGTCCCAGATGTCGAGACCGAGAGTTTCGAAGTAGGCCTTCACCTCGGACTGTAGGATCTGGACGGAAAGCCGTGTTTAGGGTGTAGAGCTTAGGGTTTGGGGTGTCGAGTTTTAGGGTTTAGGCTGTAGAGTTTAGGGTTTAGGGTGTAGGGTATAGTTCTCATAACGTTCGGCTCAGGTCTGGTTCTCTTGGCGGCACCGTGTCTCCACAGTACAGACCCTGAGCAGCAGGATCCGAAATCTGAGGACCCTCTTCGTAAGAAGACCCCCGCAGCTTTAAAGAGTCTTTGCGAGGACCTGGGGATTTCTCGACGGGCATGGGCATGGACCCAGAGACTCCAATACCCCTTTATTCAGGAATATACCTTAACTTATTAGGGATCCCTAATAAGATTTAAGGTATATTCCTCAATTAAGGGGTATTGGAGTCTCTGGGGATATTTAGCAGGAGACGAGCTTCCATGCTCCAGCAAAGAAAAAACACCCCCGTAAATTCGGGAGGCAGATAAAAACTAAACCCTAAAACCCAAAAACTCTGAGTCAAAGTCTCCAATCCCACCTAAACTGCCGACCCGAAACCGCCCGAACTGAAGTCCGAGCCCAGGAATCTTCCAGTCTCCCCAATAACCCAACATCCTCTGCCCCAGACCTCATCCCATAACTTCGTCGTTTAGCGTATATGGCTTCGAATTTTTGGTGTTTGGTGTTCAAGGATTCAAGCAGACCCCACATGTTGTAGAACGCTCAAGACTCTTGAAACACCGACACCTAGAATCCTAAACCCAACACCCCCGAAAATCCCAAACCCTGCTTTGCCAAATACCAACGAAAACCCTACCTAAACCCTAAACCCTAAACCGCTCAATTCACAGCATCTGCCCGCAGTGTCTCGGCAAAAACTTGACTGTTCGAAGGGTTCGAAGACCACACATAGGGTTGTTAAGGGCTTTTGTGCAGATGGGTTGGGGTCTTTCCAAAGTTTCTTGGCGGCTTCAGCCTGAAACCTAAAACCTGAGCAGCAAACTTTTGGGTGGACAGATCTTACAGGGTTCCTTACTATAACTAGACGTTGCTAGGTTACACCCCACAAACCCTGTTCATCCCTGCTAAACTTGGGGCGCTGAGCGGTTGACTGGGCTCAGTCTTGGCCATGTTCAGCTGCTGCCGGCAAGCGACGAGAAGCTGGCATCAGGCGAGCAAACATCTGTAAGGGCCAGTAAGTATATGGGGGTTTCCAAAAATAGGAGGTACCTTATTTGGGGGTCCTTACAATAAGGATCCTATTGGTATATTAGGGTCCCCCATCTTCGGAAACCCCCATATTGTAAGGGTGATCATGTTAAGGGCTCCTAGACGTTAGCTGATTTCCAGTGCTGTAACACTACGAGGTCTCGGGTTTCTTTAGGCCTCGGGGGTTGCCCCTTAGCGCGAGAAAGAAGGGTTCACCCTTATAGTCGCCCATAGTACAGTGCAACTCATAGTGATCGTTGTAGTAGCCCGCTCGTACCCCTTGTCGTACTCCTCGCCGAACCCTAAACTCTAAACCCTAAACCCTGAACCCTAAAACCCTAAACCCTAAACCCTTATAGCCCTAAACCCTTATAGTGGCTCTTCTAGCAACCCTCTCAAACCGGCGCGCCGATGTTTTTCCCTCGAGTGCAGATCTTGATTTCCATGTCCCGACTCCGTCGGCACGTCCCTCCTCGAGTGCAGATCGGACCCAGAAGCCGCATTCGCGAAGCACCCTGCAAAAGGATAGGGGTTTAGGGTTCAGGGTTTAGGGGAGTTTCCGGTTTAGTGTTTAATCATCGTTATGAGCGCTGGCTCTGTGGCGGCAGCCTACTCCACTGACCTTCTCGGCGATGCAACGAGCAAAGGGTGCAAGCGGTTCCAGGGCATCTGCGGCGCGCATATAAGGGTTGCACCCAACACATGAAGGAGGGATGCGGATGGCAAGAAAGCAGAAAGCGAAGCCTTGCAGCAACCAACTGCAAGTGTGTCATTGTGACATACCGTGGCTCTGTAGTCAAGTAGGAGCTGTTCATCAGTCGCCCAGAGCTCGGCACCCTAAGCACTTGTTCACAATGTTTTTGTTTATCGCACCGGGTTACGATCCGAGGCTCTCTTTGCAGGCTCATTTCGAACAACCTCCCATGTCAAAATGCATCGGCTGTGTGTCACAGCACGTCTAACAAACAAACTGGATGCCGCTTCCTGAACCCCCCTTTTCTGCCAGGAATTCACATCATACACGTAGTTTAGGGTTTAATTAATCTGGTTTCGGTCAGGTTGAAAATGGCATCGCTTCTGTGCTGCTGGAAAAACAGGGTGACATGGCACCAGCGAAGCAAACAAGGGTGGTCCGGCCCCACTCCACGCCAAGGCCGCCTACCCGGGCTCCACCCGGGGCTCAATGCTCATTGGGCACTGGGTACCTCTTGCGAATAATATGACTCTGCTCTTCGTGTACTCCTCGCTCTGGTTACTGACTACGATTATGTTCTGGCTGTCATATCATCATACATATAGGTCTTCTCACTACGATCACCACCTCCTAAGCATGAGCAGAATCCCAGCTCACAGCCAAAACCGCACGCACGTAGGGCTGGCAGGTTCGCTGTCAGAGGGGCATCCGCTGAGCAATGTGGTGGATGCGCTGTCGGTTCCCTCACGGTCGTGGCTCTTGCTCGGGCTCCGTTCCAAAGTGAGGGGTAAGTCCATCGATCCTGCGGCATACCGTTGAGGCATTGCTAAAGATCACTGGGGTTTGGGGTCCAGGTTGTGTGGTGTAGTGCAGCTCATGTGTTTTGCAACCTGAGACTGGTCCACCATGCAGCTTCCGACCCCCGAAAACCTCGAGATGACTTACTCGACTGCTCCAAAAAGGCAAAGAGGGCCTGAAGAATTAGAGAAGGGCTGTTACACATCTTACAACACAGATATACAGGGGATCTTTCAGAACTGGGGTTTGCAATTAATGTAGAGGCCTTAATAATTTGAACAGGGTTTCTGGGTAGCCATAATAAGGAACCCCCAAAATTCTATAGGTAATTATTAAGACCCCCTATATATTTCAATTATTCAGGCTTCAAGTATAGAGTTTAGAGAGTTTAGAGCCCAGAGACTCCAATACCCCTTAATTAAGGAATATACCTCAAATTATAGTAGGATCCCTAATAAGATTTAAGGTATATTCCTTAATTAAGGGGTATCGGAGTCTCTGGGAGCTTAGCGAAAAATGCATCGAGCCTTGATGAGACAGAGGAGGCTTGCGATGCTTGTAGCCTTGTGACAGCAGCTGCTGCGCCGATGCAAACGACATTATGTCAATCGCATTGAACCTTGGTGATCACTAGAGTTTAGGGTTTAGGGTTTAGGGTCTAAGGTTTAGGGTTGATCACTAGATTCAAGGCTCCAGGACGTGTGGCTTTAGCTTCGCTGTCACTATTACTATGACCATGACAATGACTCTTACTGCTACTCTTGTGGCTGTGACTATGGCTACTGTTCCTGTTATGTGTTATTACGACTATTACGACTATGTGCATCATTATAACTCTTATTGTTGTTTTTCGATCAGCACCACCATCATTAGTTTTTCTTTATCCAGCCCGTATATTCTCAAGCACATCCAAAACCCCAAACCCAAAACCCAAAACCCTAAACCCAAAACCCTAAACCCTAAACCCAAAACCCTAAACCCAAAACCCAAAACCCTAAACCCAAGCCCCAAAACCCAAAACCCAAAACCCAAAACCCAAAACCCTAAACCCAAAACCCAAAACTCTAAACCCATCCAGGGAGCGCAGCGAGATCCTGGAGTGTGGCTGCCGATGGGGTCGTCCAGCAGGGCACTAAGCCCGGTGGGGCCCGGAAAGGAGGTGGGACCTCGGCCTCAGGGTCGCTCTGTGCCTGGGTAGATCATGGAGGCCCTTTGGAAACCATAATTCTGGTTTAGGGTTTAGGGGTTTAGGGGTTTAGGGGTTAGGGGTTAGGGTTCAGGGTTTAGGGTTTAGTACGGTGCTGTTATACTGATGTTAGCAAGTTCCTTTCAAGAACGGCCCAGGTACCGACTGACCCGGCAGAATCTGCACCACGCCTGACCTCAGTACGGGGTCTTGGGATGTGCCGAGTTTAACGCTTTCAGGTTAGGGTTTAGGGTTTAGGGTTTAGGGTTTAAGGGGTGCATGGTTGAGGGATGCGGGCTTCTGTTCCGTGGTTGGGAGCAGCAGCTCTTGGGCAGAAGAAATCAGGGGCGCACTGAGGAACTGGGAGACTTGCGTAGCTCTGGATATGGGAGTTTCAAGAAGGCAAGGAACATCTGAATATAGACCCTGAGTAGTGACAAGTTTCTTGCAAGAGCCCTAACAGGGAGCCCCACATAACTTTTTGACACTGTCATCTCCCGTTGCATGATGTGCTCATGTAGAATCTTGCCGAGGGTCTTCAGGACCGGGTGGACGATGGACGGAGTCTCGTGGCTCTCTCCTTTGCGCATGCTTTGCTCCTTGTGGGCCTTTGTGGGAGTCTCATTGCTGGTCGCATTCGGGAAGCGCCGGAGCTCGGATCTGCCGTGAGCAAACTTGCACGCCTCTCCATTCTTGCAGCGCCCTTTGCGCGAGAACTGAAAGCAAAGCTGGGTTGCCACCAAATCCGGCTGCTGCTTCAATTCCGCGACGGAGTGGGCAAACTTGCAGTCGGCGCCAAGCGTACATCGCTTTGCCTTCCAGTACTTGCACATCCTCGTTCTCTCGAGGATCTCACGCGTGTCCTTCTGTGGCGGAGACATGGCGTCGTCAGCTCAGAAACCTGGTAGCGATGATCACGATGTCCGATCTTGTCCCCCTGTGAACTCGAGCCATTTCAGACATTCCACATCCATGGCTGCTGAACTTGTTTCAGGTTTTGCTCCCTGCAGGAGAAGCTCAAGACATACCACTGAACGAAACCTTCTACTTTCTACATACCGGTGGCCCAGTGCCTACTTTGAGTCGTATCCTACTTCAGTAATTACCATCCGACGTCTCACGATGATTGCTATCATATCTCTTCAGACTAGCCCGGGTGCCTCAAAGAAGTCTCGCAGTCGCCACAGCCTGCAGCACCCGTCGCTTGACGATATTCTTTCCAAGTTGAGGGTCAAGGGATCTACAGCCCTGTCCACACTGTCAACGTCATGGTCAAGGATAGCACCACCAGCATCATCACCACCATCATCACCGTCATGATCACCACCGTCGTCATCATCATCATCATCATCATCATCATCAGCCTCATCATCATCATCATCATCATCATCACCATCATTATCACCGTTACCGTCGCCATCATCAACACCATCATCATCATCATCATTATCACCGTTACCGTCGCCATCATCATCAGCATCATGATCATGATGATCATCATCATCATCATTACCATTATCATGATCACCATCATCATCAACATCATCAACATCATGATCACCATCATCACCACCACCATCATCATCATGATCATCATCACCATCAGCACCACCATCACCATCAGTACCACCATCATCATCATCATCATCATCATCATCACCCTCATCATCATCACCCTCATCATCATCCGCGTTTCGTCGTCGAGATCATCACTATCTTCATCATATTCATAACCATCATCATGTTCATCAATATCATCATCATCATCATCATCATCATCGTCATTATCGTCATCATTAGCAGCAGCTGCACCATCCTAACTCATAGCCACCATCATGATCCTCATCTGCATCCCCATATACTTCTTCTTCTTCTTCCTCCTCCTCCTCAGACTCCTCATGACATTTCTGCTTCTATATGTTTATCATCTTCACCGTCATCATTGTCATTATCCCCATCCGCACCCTGATCCTCCTCAACACCATCATCGACATCGACATGTCGTCATCGTCATCATCTTCACAAAAACACCATCACCATCATCACCGCTACCACCGTCATCATGCCAGCATCATCGTCGGCAGCATCATCCTCATCACCATCACCGTCCCTCAGCATCATCAGCCTGATCACCATGAACACATCTGTCACGATTGTAAGCACAACAGCCCTCATCATCATCATCATCATCATCATCATCATTGCTACCAGTAATCCTGACGGTCATAACGCTATGCACGCATTCCTGGCAACCAGGCTAGAAAACAGCACAGCAGCTATTAGCAGCAGGAAGAGGGGAGCCTGGGTTAAAAGCGGTCACGAGGACGAGTCCTTCCTCTGCTACCGGAATGCGAACTCTACTGCCCAAAACCCTTCGCAATTTCTTTAGAAGCTTTGTCCTCAGGATCCGGCCCGGAACGCGGCCGAAACAGGATCTCGGCCTCGAAAGCTCTCAGCAGAAGGACGATGATGGCAGACACAATAATAGCAAAGACAATAAGAATAGCAACAAGAACAGCAATATTATGTAATGACAGCTATTATTAATTTTACTGCCACCAATAACAATAAGAACTGAACTGAGCATAGCAATGATGTTCATGATTGCGAGAAAGGTGCTGACAATTTTAGTGAGTGAGATTCAGTATGCCAATAACGGCAGCTTCTGATGGTACATGCTTAGGCTTAGGACAGAGTTCCAAATTTTAGGATATAAGGTCTATTGCGTGAGCCACTTTGTGGTTCAAGGCTTAAGGTTTTGGGAGTTGATGTCACGTTAGCAACTTTCGGGGATCGAATTCGGAGTTTGGTCGAAATGCGCTGGAAACTTCTGATTTAGGACCAGAGTTGTGGGGGTGGGATGTTAAGATTTCAAGCCCAGGAGTCGGGATTTCCGGTTCGGGGTTCATGGATGGCTGGGAGCATGCTACTACTCTGTCGAAGTCCTACATGACCAGGCAGCCGTCTGACTGCCGAGAGTTGCGTTTCGGGTTCCTGTAGGGGCCTTAGTAATCAGAATAGGGTCATGATGTGCGGGTAACCGACTGGAACCCTCAATTCTATTTAGTCTGACTCATGGCAAAGCCCGCGGATGAAGGTATGTAATGTAGGGGCCAAAATAATTACCAATACTATTTTGGCGGTTCCTTGCTATACTTATAGTACAATGGGCCCCAAAACCCTGTTCTAATTATTGAGGCCCCTAAAGTAGGGTCAAATCACCCTATGCCTTGGACCGAGCCCGGACACCCAAAAACCCAAAAGTCTCAAAACCCAAGCCCCAAACGGCCCTCACAGAGCCCTTGATAGAAACTCCCGAATGAATTCTCAAGGGAGCGAGACCTTACAAAACCCTGTAACACCCCTAGAAGGACTCCCTAAAGCAGCCCTAAACTCCTTCAGTACTGGGCTTCACTGTTTAAGTGGAGCGCCTGACGGTCAAAGTGGTCGAACAACATTGCGGAGTCCTGCTTGAGGTTTAGGGTTCATGGGGGCTGGTGTTACGGCGCTCTCACATGGGGGGAGGGTTCTTAGATGTGGGGGTTCAACACAGATTCCAGACTGGCTCGAGAATCTGGCTTGGGGCTTTGATGTCTATAGGTTGTGTATAAGGGTGTTCCATTTTAAGTGTGCTTTTTTGGGGGGCCTTAAGATGACAGGGACAGCTGATTGAATTTCGGTGGCACTCGCAACATTGATCTTGGTTTGGTCGTTTCCTGGAATCGGCTCACTGCTACTAGCACTACTGCGGCTACGAAGCAGCTATGCGACTGCTAAGCTTTGCGCTTCTGCACGGTATGAGCTCCGGGTAGATGTAGCTTCGACCCCACACCTTAAGTCGATTTGATCTGGCACCTTTCCATGTAGCCCCTAAACCCTAAACCCTAAACCCCTAAACCCCTAAACCCCTAAACCCTAAACCCTAAACCCTAAATCCTAAATCCTAAACCCTAGACCCTATGTTCCCGGACGAATGATTCCGACAAGTCTTTGTAATCAATGGCCCTCGCCCTTGCAGCTGGCTAGCCCAGAACGTATCCATAAGTTAATATGGGTAGTTATAAGTGGGGTTATGGGGTTCCTTTAAGGGTTCCGTTAAAGGGTTCTATAGGGTTTAGGGTTCAGGGTAGTTATAAGTAGGGTAGAAGTCCCTTAATATGGGTTATAACTATAGTTACCCTAACAATCACCCAACCCTGAAACCCGAAGCCGTCATCTTTAAGCTGCGAAAACCTACATTCCGAAACCCCCAAGCTCTGAAATGCAATGCAAGCCTCCCGCCTTTGCAGCCAAAGCCAGAATGCTCCTAAGTGCCAAAACCCCGCCTTCGATGGTTCCGAGAAGCGGCTGATCCGACCTTGCACCACTCCAAATCGCCAGACATGATGATGAAACTAGAACGGTAGCAATAACAACATCAACATCAGCAACTACAACCACAATCATTAGCATAGTTGACCAGCACAACTACCGCCGTCTTCATCACAACCATCATCACCAACATCGCAGCCATCATGATGATCAACATCATTGCCAGCACCAGCACCAGAACCAGCACTCGCAGCACCAGCGCAAGCATCAGCCACAGCACCATCATCATCATCATCATCATCATCATCACCATCATCACCATCATCTCCATCATCATCATCATCGTCGTGGCAACGACTATATTCCTTATCTTCATGGTCATTACCATGTTCATCGTCATCATCATCATCATCATCATCATCATCACCATCATCATTACCATTATCATTATCATCATAACCATCATCAACATAATCATCCTCATCGTCACCTTCATCATCATCATCATCGGTCGCCGTGCTGGTCATCGCTATCTTCATCATCTTCGAAGTCATCACCATCATCATGATCATCACCACCATCATCAACATCATCATGATGATGGCCATCATCATCATCATCATTTGTCGCCGTGGCGATCATCGCTATCCTCATCATCTTCAACTCATCACCATCATCATCATTATCATCATCATAACCATCATCAAAAACATCATCATGGTGATCATCATCTTCATGATTATGATCATCATGTTCAGCATCAATGTCATCATCGTCGCCATCGTCATCGTCGTAACCGTCATCGTCGCTGTCATTATGGTATCTTCATCGCCGGCATCGTTGCCCCTCGTCACCATGCTCAGCAGCATGATCATAGGCATGGTCGCATTATTTACATCATCACCAGGGTCGCGCTTCATGATTTCAATCCCGGCGCCGGGCTTTGTGTGCCGCGGCGCCGAAGTCCTGCCGGGGCTTGGGCATGTAACTTGAACTGCTCAGAAAAGCTTTCCGTGAGAATGGACGAAGCCTCAACCACAACCCGTCCGGGTTTACTTGGAAAGGTAGCATCGCCCAAGCTTCACGCAGGACCGCCTGCATCCGCAATGGCGGTGAGGCCCCCCCTCAGGCGAGGTGGCTCATTGAATCGACGAACTCCGAGAACCGCAGAAGCGTTGAAAAAGGCTGATCTGTCCCGAATCGCCCGTCTGGACTTAAATGACCCCGGATCGAGGATGTGTTGAAGATGGGCGTCACATGTTGCTGACTAGTAACTCGCTGTAATGAAGGGTTTGTTCAGATACAGTCTTCGCAGTAGTCCGTGGAAACACGGGGACCATGTGCGAAGTCATGACAGGAAGCCCACACTCTTGGCAGCAGCCGATAGAAATTCATGGCGTCGACCGGCATATTGCAAAAGGCAAGAACAGCAGCTGCTAGGAGCAGTAGCCATAGCAGAAAAGTTGGTGGTAATAGTTGTGGTAGTTCAGAAGAGGCGGGCATATCAAACCTGAACATCTTCAGCGATCATAAGCTGCGGAACGACAAAACTTGCATTGTGCCTTCGACA